TGCCCAGGCCGTGCCCCTCCTGCCAGCCCATCCTCTGCAGCATCTGGAACCCCACGTTCCTGGGGCTCAGCCTCTTCTGGGACAGCTCCACGTCCCTGCCCTTCTGCACAAAATCAATTAAATCATCAGTAATCGGTTAATTAGTGTCATTAGGGTGGTGAAACGGCTGAAATTCCCATCCACGCAGCTGAAAATTCAATTTTTTTATAGGAATTTCCATTTTAAACATGAATTTTTCAAGGAATTTCCTTCTTCTTAAAGAGATTTTTTTAAAAAATAAATTTCCTTTTTTTTTAAAGGAATTGCTCCTTTTAAAGGAATTTTTAAATGAATTTTTATAAAGGAATTTCCCTCCCTTAAAGGAATTTTTAAAGGATTTCTTTTTAAAGGAATTTCCTTCTTTTAAAGGAAATTCCTTGATTTTAATGGAATTTTTAAAGGAATTTCCTTGATTTCAATGGAATTTTTAAAGGGAAGTTTCAGCTTCAGCCCAGATTTTTTTCTCCAGAAAATTCTGATTTTTTTTTTCCCCCCCCCCAATGTCTCATTTTTGGTGGATTTTGTGGCAGAAATGTGAATTTTTTTTTTTTTTTTACCTTTTTCTTCTTTGTGACAGGGCAGCCCCGGGGTCTGTCATAAGCAATCCTGACAGGCTCATGCACTGCAAGGCAAAGAAACACAAAATTCAGCTGGAAATTCAAATTATTTTCATCCAAAAACTCCAAACCACAGCTAAAAAATAAAATTAAAAATGGCATTAATTTAGTAAAATTTGTTATTTCATTTTATTTGAGTGAAAAAAACCCCAAACCTCCAAACCACAGCTGGAAAAAAAAAAAATCTCCAAAAATTAATTTCAATCCTAATTCACTGCCTGGATCTAAAATGGAAGCGAGAAGAAAAATGAGATCAATAAAAAAGATGAAAATTAACAAAAAAATTCAATTTATACTCAATTTAATATAAATATATACTCAGAAGATTGGCAGGTTTTTGATACACACTTGGCTGTTGGCCCATGACACAAATGATTTATTCAGCTTCTGTAAAGTGAATTTTTTGTTCATTTTTGGATGAAAAAATGCGACTTTTAAAGCAAGAAAACACATTAAAAAACCCGGATTTTTTGCCCAAATTCTCCCCTGAAATCTCTCCATGCTCACCCAAATTGGGATTTTCTATTCAGCTTCTCCTTCCCCATTTGAATGGGGATTTAAAGGGAATTTTGTGCTCATTTTTGGATGAAAAATGCAATTTTTTAGTAATTATCAGCAAGAGAACGTCGAAATAATCAGGATTTTTACCCAAATCCTCTTTTATTTCACTATAAAAGTGAAATATTTTGATGCCCATTGGCCTCTCCTACGAGGAAGATTCTTCACCACTTCAATGAATATTTAAAGTGATTTTTTATACGAAAAAAATGCAATTTTTAAAGCAAGAACACACCTGAAATACTGGGATTTTTGCCCAAATCTTCTATTATTTTGATATAAAACCGAAATATTTTAATGTCCACCCACCTTTGGGTTCTTCTATTCAGCTTCTTCTCCTTCACCACTTGAATGAAGATTTAAAGTGAATTTTGTGCTCATTTTTATATGAGCAAATGTGATTTTTAAGTACCAGAACACCTCAAAATTCGGGATTTTTACTCAAATCCTCTTTCATTTTGATATAAAACTGAAATATTTCGATGTCCACCCACCTTTGGGTTCTTCTATTCAGCTTCTTCTCCTTCACCACTTGAATGAAGATTTAAAGTGAATTTCGTGCTCATTTTTATATGAGCAAATGTGATTTTTAAGTACCAAAACACCTCAAAATTCGGGATTTTTACTCAAATCCTCTTTCATTTTGATATAAAACTGAAATATTTCGATGTCCACCCACCTTTGGGCTCTTCTCTTCAGCTTCTCCTTTTCCACTTGAACGAAGATTTAAAGTGAATTTTGTGTTCATTTTCATATTAAAAAATGCAATTTTTTAAGCGACGAAACACCAAAAGATTTGGAATTTTTGCCCAAATCCTGTATAAAACTGAAATATTTTCATCCCCACTGACCTTTGGGCTCTTCTGTTCAGCTTCTTCTCCTTTCCCATTTGAACGGGGATTTAAAGTGAATTTTGTGCTCATTTTTACATCAAAATATGCAATGTTAAAGTACCAAAACCCCTAAAAAAATCAGGATTTTTTTTTCCAAATTCTCCTTTTTTTTCCCCACACCTGACCTTTGGGCTCTTCTCTTCAGCTTCTTCTCATTTAACACTTGAATGAATATTTAAAGTCAACTTTGCGTGCTGATTTTTATACGAAAAAATGCAATTTTTAAGTACCAAAACCCCTAAAAATCAGGATTTTTTTCCCAAATCGTGTACAAAGGGAGCTCTCTGGATGTGCACCCACCTTTGGGCTCTTCTCTTCAGCTTCTCCTTTCCCATTTGAACGAAGATTTAAAATTAATTTTATGCTGATTTTTACATGAAAAAAAAATGCAATTTTTAAAGTGATGAAACCCCTAAAAAGTCGGAATTTTTTCCCAAATCCTGTATAAAACTGAACTCTTTGGATGTGCACCCACCTTTGGGCACCTCTATGAGGCAGATCCTTTGGCACTTGAACGAAAATTTAAAGTGAATTTTGTGCTCACTTTTACATGAAAAAATGCAATTTTTAAAGCGACGAAACCCCTAAAAATTTGGAATTTTTGCCCAAATCCTGTATAAAACTGAACTATTGGGATGTGCGCCCACCTTTGGGCTCTTCTCTTCAGCTTCTTCTCCTTTCCCACTTGAATGGGGATTTAAAATTAATTTTATGCTGATTTTCATATGAAAAAATGCAATTTTTAATTACCAAAACCCCTAAAAATCCGGATTTTTTTCCCAAATCGCGTACCAAGGGCGCTCTCTGGATGCACACGCACCTTTGGGCTCCTCGATGAGGCAGATCCTCTTGGGGGCGGGGATCATGCCCACCTTGAGCGATTTGCTGCTGACCCTTTTGCGGGGGAAGGGCGCGCCCGGAGCCTGTGCCGACAGAGCGGGGGCAGCGCCGTCAGCGGGGCGGGGCCGCCCCTCCTCCTCCTCCTCCTCCTCCTCCTCCTCCTCTTCCTCCACATCAGCCTCCCTTCTACCTGCGGCCTCCTCATCCCCGTGCCCTGCAGCGGGGCAGGGCCCGAGCTCTGCTTCCTCCTCCTCCTCCTCCTCCTCCTCCTCCTCGTCCTCCTCGTCCTCGGGGCTCCGGGCGGGCTCAGCCGCGGGGCTGAAGGTGATGGAGGGGCAGAGCTGCAAAACTTTCCTGCGGTAGAACTGGAAGGCAGCGCTGGTCTGGTCCTGCAGGAACCTGCGGGGAAATAAAAAATTAAAAATTAAAATTAAACGGTGATGGGGATGGGAGCGGTGAGGGTGGAGGGATTGGGGATAAAGGTCGGGGGATGCGCGGTGAAAATGGAAATTAAGGTTAAAACGATCAGGGGAACGAGGTGGGAAAAGACAGGAAATGAGGTTGAAAATCCAGGAAGGATAAAGGCAGAAATCCAGGGAAATTAGATCAAAAACCCAGGGAAATTAAGGTCAAAAACCCAGGGAAATTAAGGTCAAAAATTCAAGGAAAATTAGGGTCAAAAGTCCAAGGGATAAAAGGTCAAAAATCCATGGAAATTAGGTTAAATATCCAGGGAAGGATAAAGGCAGAAATTCAGGGAAATAAAGGCAAAAATCCACGGAAAATTATTAGGGTCAAAAGTCCAAGGAAAACAAGGTCAAAAATCCAGGGAAATGAGGTTAAAAATCCAGGAAGGATAAAGGCAGAAATCCAGGGAGATTAGATCAAAAACCCAAGGAAAATAAAGTCAAAAACTCAAGGAAAATTAGGGTCAAAAGGCCAGGGAGAATCAGGTCAAAAATCCAAGGAAAACAAGGTAAAAAATCCAGGAAAATGAGGTCAAAAGTCCAGGAAAAATAAAGTCAGAAATCCAGGAGGAAATAAAGTCAGAAATCCAGGAAAAAAATAATCCAAAATCCAGAGAAAATAAGGTCAGAAATCCAGGGAAGTCAGGTTAAAAATCCAGGAATGATAAAGTCAGAAATCCAGGAGGAAATAAGGTCAAAAATTCAAGGAAATTAAAGTCAAAAATCCAGGGGGAAAAAAAAAGTCAAAAATGCAAGGAAAAAAAAATTTAAATCCGGGGAAAAAAATAAAATTAAAAATCTAAGGAGAACAAGGACAAAAAGAGATTTTGCATTAATTTCCAGGAGTTCAGGAAGAAATGTCTGCTTGGTTTTGGGGAGAAATGAGGAAATCCCCCCTCAGCAGCACCTCCCCAATTCTGGGAAAAATTCATTAATTCAGCAGAAGAATTCATTAATGAATTGGAATCACCTCAAAAATCCTCAATTTCAGGATTCACGTTGATTGTTAGGATCAAAAAAAATTCAATTTATCTTTGCAAAAGTGTTTTGGGTTTTTTTTTTCCCCTCACGTATTTCAGATTTTTTTTCCCCTCACATATTTCAGATTTTTTTTTTCCCCCATAATTGGAAGTGCTGAAGAATTGCCCCAAATCCTCTGTTCCTGAACAGCCTGAAATCAGAGATGGGAGCAGAAATTGGAGGGGTTTGGGACTCACCAGAGCTCGGGATTGTCTGCACTGTTGTCAATGCTGAACTGCTCCATTTCTGGTCCTACCTGAGCCACAAACCTGGCGAGTTTCTCTGCAGTTTCCATGGTTTTGGCATCCACTGCAAAATAAAAATAAGATTATTTTAGCTTCACTGGAAAGGTCAGAGAAGTAGTCAGTTCATAAATAGACAATAAAAATTGAAATAATAAAATAAAATAATACAATTTTAAAAATAAAATATTAAATTAAAATAAAGTGGGAACAAAGTGGGAACAAAAAATAATGTTTAGGCATCCCAGCAGGAATTATTTCTCATGGATAAGTGGATTGCAGGAGAAGTTTGAGGTTTTTTAATCCGGACAAAATTTCAAATTTCCCGTGGATAACTGGACTGCAGAAAAAGTTCAATTTGCTTTTTTTTGTTCCCCAGCCACAATTCCAACTTTCAAACGTAACCCCACGCTGGTTTATTTTTGTTTTTTTGTCCCATTACTACATTTAACTTCACATTTCTCACCCTTTAGCCCCGCTACCACAAACCCAACAGGAATTCAGTGATGGTTTCGTGGCTGGAGTCACGTTTATCTCAGGAGCCGTGACTCACCGCGGGGCTGCTCGGCCTCCATTCCCGGTTCCATTCCCGGCTCGGTTCCCGGTCCCGTTCCCGGTTCGGTTCCCGGTCCCGTTCCCGGTTCGGTTCCCGGCTCGGTTCCTGGCTCTGTTCCCGGCTCCGTCCCCGGTTCGGTTCCCGGTCCCGTTCCCGGCGGGGTCTCGGGGCTGGCGGTTCCGGGCAGGGCCGGGCCGGTTCCGGGCAGGGCCGGGCCGGTTCCGGGCAGGGTTTTTTGGGGCGTTTTCAGGCCCGGCCCGGAGGGCAGCACGGCCTGGCTGCCCCTGCTCGCTCTCCTCGCCCTCCTGCTGCCCCTGACAGCGACGGGCGCGCGTTTCCTTTGCTTTCTGAAAAGTCTCCTCTTGATGCTGGCCACCCTGCGGGCGTAGAGCAGAGCCCTCAGCGACTCTGGGGCTGCCCCCTGCTCAGCCACACTCGCCCTCTGCGCCTCTGACAGCCTCAGCCTGAAATATTTGTACTCCAGGCTCTCCTCATCTGACAGGAACCTGGGGAAAAAAAATAAAAAAGGAGAGATCAGCTGAAAAATCGGAATTTTTAAAGCAAACAAAACCAAAAAACTCTCAGCTTTTGGCTTTTAGGTTTTTTTTTCCAGGTGTTTAGCATGAGGCTGAGCAGGTTTTTTTGGGAATAACAAGCAGCAAGGAAATGCATTATTATGGAGGGGTTTGGACAGGAATTTGAGTAATTAATTAATTAATCAGCTCACACACCTGGAGATGGCTCAGCTCCCCCCCCACCTTTTTCCAACATTTTCCCTGGAATTCTAATTCCTGTTACCTTTGCTAGGTGTCTGTATCACCTGCACTGGGTTCCTAAAACGCAAAGTTGCTTTGAACACCTCGAATTTGGGCCGGCAAAGAGCCATTATTGGCACATCAAAAGCAGCAACACAAACACCAGGATCATTTCCAGGGATAATTAACTGCAGGAAAACATCCCCCCACTCCCAAAAAAATCCTGATTAAATCCACAACAGGCTTTGATCTCTCCCATTGAGTGAAGCGTTGAAGTTTTAATTACAGCCACTCCAAACACCCCCCACACCCACCAATATTCAGGAGAGTTCTTCTGAGCATTCCTGTCTTTGGCAGATAAAGTTCCTGACACCATGCTGGCCACCAGCTGCTCAATTGTGTCCAAAACTTTCCTGTCAGCTCGCTGGGGGGCTGTGGGGAGAGACAAAAACCCAACAAAAAACCCACTCCGTGTTTTATTCTCATCAGCACAGCAGCAAGATGTTGCATTTCTTTTTA